GGGGAGGTCCTTCTGAAGTCCACAATCATCTCCTTCATCTTCTTCACATTTATGTGAAAGTTATTCTCTTTGCACCAGCTCTCCAGGTGTCCAACCTCCTGCCTGTCTGGACTCGTTGTTTGTGATGCATCCCACCACCGCTGTATCATCTGCAAACTTTACAATGTGACAGCCTGGATGGGTAGCTGCACAATCATACATGAGCAGAGTGAACAGGAGAGGGCTCAGCACACATCCCTGAGGGGAGCCAGTACTGAGGGTTATCACGTGGCGTCTCTGGGCAGCACGCCTCATCCCCAAAATGCCTGCCGGGCGCTTTCAATAGCTGCCCACTGCACCACCTGGTGGTGGATGGGTTAAATGCAGAGACTAATTTCGCCATTGTATGGAAACATACAGTGCTGACATTGTGATGACATTATTATTATTATTATTATTATTATTATGATGATGGAGGAGAAGTTGTGGATCCTCACTGACTGCAGTCTGTTTGTTAAGAAGTCCAGGATCCATTCAACACTTGCTCTTCTCAAGGGCAAACGTCTCCTCCTCTCGCTCTCCGCTTTGCTTTTGCTCTGTCTTGTCTGTGAAACTGCTTTAGAGCCTCTCTTCTACAAATCTTCCGAATCATAACTATGGACTTGGATTTGGTAAGTTGGTCCTTCAACACAATTGATAACATTTCTTTGAAGAGAAGACAGGCTTTAGGCGAGTCGATTTGCCCTGTTGGCACGCACACAGCTGGATATCTCATCGACTTGGAAGACTTCATGACGTGTCTATCTCTGCTGTCATCTGTGGATTTTAATGATGCATTTATAATTGGATTTATGATAACTAGTTCCTGCTTTTTGGATTTGGCTGGTTCCTGGTCTATCAACAATCAAGGAAGTCGTTGGAAGCAAATCTGGACCTGGTCAAGCTACTTGCTTTATGATGGCTTGGTTCGTGCCTCGAGCACCCAGACTATTGGCAGAATGGATCAGATCTCAGGGATTATTCTCAGGCACGTTCCATTGGTATGGTCATTTAATTTGGATGTTTTGGAACCGAGTGGACCGACACAGATTTAAGGTAGATGTCATTAAGTTCTGCCTTTCCCCAAAACAATAATGTTTATTTGAATTCAGCTCCCTGACTGGTCTTGACAGGCCATCTTATCTCAACCCACCTGGAAGTTTTGTAAACCTGATGTTCAGTCCCTCCCTCCCCTCCTACTGAGGAATTTCCATGGACTTTTCAGAGGAGTCCAGCTGAATAAACATTTTGTCATCATTTCAGGACTCTGGATTTGTCTCTGGTCGTCCTCGGCACTCCCCAAGTGTGCATGGATCTCTCCAGAGGGAACTATTTGAACTGAGTGATTTTATCTGAACTCTGCAGTGCCTCTGTGTGTTGTCTCTGGCTGCTCACCGCCCTTGCGTCCCCCCGTCCCCCTCCCCCGCGTAATGACGGCGTCATTATGTGCTAGTGTACGAGATTTTTTTCCATTATCACTTTGACCTTCAAACAGAGGTGTTGCATGAGAGCATGTTAGGATTTTTTTAATTATCTCCAAACCCCCATGTGTTATTTCCACCACTTTTTATTGTCTGTCCAAACAGGTCTCACTTGTAAATGAGTCTTCGAGGCTCAATGTGACTTATCTGTTTAAATAAAGGTTGAATGAATGAAAGTTGCAAATGGAGGGGCTTAGTCCTAGTGTGAGTAGTTTGTCCATCAGGGTTTGGGGATCATGGTATTCAAGGCAGACGTGAAGTCCACAAAGAGCATACGGACATAGGAGTCCTTCTGCTCCAGGTGGGTGAGAGCGGTGTGGACCATAGAGGAGATGGCATCCTCTGTTGATCGGTTCTTGCGGTATGCGTACTGGTGAGTCCTCATTGATGATGATGATGGTTGCTTTGATGTGGGTCATGACCAGTTTTTCACGCTGAGAAGCTCTTCATCCAGTGGTGAGGTGAGTCTGTGCTTGGTGGTCAGTTCGGGTCTTCAAAGCATGCCTAGAACAAGTTGAGGGCATCAGGCAGTGATGGGTCTCTAAGGCATTGTTCACTTCTGCCTTTATAATCTGTTATGGACTTAATGCCCCTCCACATGCTCTGTGGGTCTTGTGAGGTAAATTGACCCTGGATCCTCTGTGCATATATGGCCTTGGCCCTCTTAATACCAGCAACCAACTCTTTCCTTGTCCTTCTCAACTCCTGTGATTTTCCAGACCTGAATGCAGTGTTCCTTGCTTCCATCAGAGTGCAAACCTCTGCATTCAGCCAAGGCTTCCTGTTCAGGTAGCTCTTAACATATCTGGTGGCGGTGACGTCATCAGCACATTTATGCGGTAGTCGCTTTTAAGTTTCTTTAGTTTTTTGCGGCATTGCTTCGGTGTACAATGGTACCCCTGCAAAATCATCCGCTCCGACAACTCTTTAAAAATCTTTTCATTGCGAGTCGATCCGTCCGGCTCCCTCTGAACATTTTCCTCACCCACCAAGCACAATAACGCCTGCACTTCTGCGTTGGTCCACGGTGTTGGCATTATTAGTTTTTATATTGTGTCCTGTAGATCCTGCGACTGAGAGTTTTTGCGGGCTGGAGAGAAAATGGCGGATTGTGGAAAGTTTTCAGTTTGAGTGACTCTGCCCGCGACTCCGCCCCCGACCAATCAGTGACCAACAGTGTTCTGACGTCACGTTTTAGTACCTACTCGTTCGGGTTAGAACCACAGAGCCAAGGGTCCTGAAAATAGTAACAGGTCCCAAGTACCGGTACTAATGGAAAAGGGCTATTACTGATGTACCCCAGAACTGAGGATGTGTATTGCCCCAGGTCTAGCACCCCCCCCCCCCCTTCATATTCAGCAGCTTCTCTGAAGACCTCCCAGTCTGTTCATTCAAAACAATTTTTCAATATGGGGCCAATAACATCACTTTATGTTACATATGGAGCCACTTTATGTTTGCACATTTAGTGCAAACATAAAGTTTGTAGGAAATTTGTAAACAAACACATTGTGCCTCAAAAGCCATGACTTTAGACTGACATCATCATTTAGACTGACAATGAGCTCATTTCTAATTAGTTCAGAAGAGCATTTGTTTTGCACATCAGTCCACTTATTTTTCATGAGAAAAAATCATTTCCACAAATCCAGTGGAAGATGGGATGAGGACAAAGGATACAACAGCTGGATGTTGGGGAGGTCAGCTGCCTGAAGAACGTGCATCCACCTTTGTGCTGTTCCCTTGGACTGACACCTTCTCCTGAGCTTCTGTGGTGAGGTGCTGCAGTCACACATTCCTCATGAAGCTCATCCACAGACATGCTTAGCCTGCCAGAAGGAGTTAAAAGTTTTATGATCTGAGTTCACTGGAGGCACATAGGTCATGTACAGTGGTAAATAAATGGGAACAAATATTTGTTTATCTTTACAATTTTGCATCATATCCTAACTACCTTTTGAAATTACTTTAATACATCATATATAAACTGTTTATTTTTTTAAAGATGTCTATAAGTATGCATGTTTGTATACTATAAAGTAAGTTTGATTATGTATGTATTTGTATATCAATTGTATCCATTTGTAACTATTATTAATAAAACATGGTTCATCTTCACCTTGTTTGAGGCATCGGTGTGAAGACAGAACGGGAGTGGGTTGCTTCCACTTTTCAATTTTTCGACCACCACTTCTTCTATTGCATTTGGACACAGGACATTGGTGACCACAGCTTCAGCCTATGTCCTCCCACAGGACATCTTCATGGCAATGCTGGAGTTATTGTTGAGTCAGCTTAAATCAGTCGGCTGAGTTGTAACAAAGTATGTTTCACAGTCTGGTACTGGTATATATGGGCTATCTCTGCAGCTGTAATCTGAAATCATAAACATAGGAAATACTATATAAATTTATTTGTATATTTTTATTTATTTATCTATTTTATGTAGTCATTTTTTAATTATTCTTGTTTATCACAAGAAAAAATATATATTTGGCCTTTAATGCTCACATTCATTGCACTTTCACACATTAAACTTATCCTTTTCTCTCTCTCTTTTTACATAACATATCTGCCTCTGGCATTGCCCAGTGGACAACATACTGGTCAAGAGTTTTCCTGGTTTTGTTGTCTTTCACATTTCAATGGTGGAAGCTTGCTGTTTGACATCAAACTGTCCACCATGGGCTACGGAAAAAGTGCGCTGGCAGACAGTACAGTGCGTTTTGTAGCCATTATCCTGCACTATTTCCAGTCACACGTGTTCCTTTTCCCACTCAATTCTGTATTTTTGCAGTCATTTCTTTTTTTTCTGAAAGAAGTAGTCGGGTTACTGATGGAAGATGAACCGCGTGCACTGTTTAAATCCTCTGAATTCCTGCCGCTCGCATCCATGATGTTTTATTGTCGAATCCTCTTCTTCTTCTTCGTTGATGAATCCTGTCTGTTGGCAGTTGTGATCATCGATATATGATATCTATGGTTGTGATAAGCAACAGTAGCTGGACCAATGAGATGAGTCAGCTTCTGGGCTTCATGAGCAAGAAGCCTGCTCATTGGTCACAGAGCAGGAGAGGGCTGGTAGTTAATTACTGTAAAATTTCATATAGAGAGCCCCATCATTTACTAACGCTATTGACATGGACATGTTTTTTGATTTTCACTATAATACGGGACAAAGTGCATCCCATTTCAGCTCAATACAGGACGTGTACTTTTGTTTCTAAATACAGGATGATTCTGTTTTTTATGGGACAGTTGGCAATGCTATCTGACACTCTTTTCACCTCTACTACATTCTTTGCCAACTCCTTCAGGACCACCCCTACTCCATTTCTCTTTCCACACCATGGTAAAACAGCTTAAACTCTGTTCCAAAGCTGCAAGCCTTGCTGCCCTTCCACTTGGTCTCTTGGACACATAAAAAATCTACCGTCCTTCTCTGCAGCATGTCAGCCAGCTCTCTACCTTTGCCTGTTATCATCCCCTCATTTAGAGTTGCAACCCTCAGTCCTACATTCTTGACTTTCCTCTTCTCCCTCTGTCTCCCAACACATTTCCCTCCTCATGGTCTTCGACTAACAGTAGCACAATTTCTGCTGACACTATTTGTCAACAGCACCAGTGGCGGTCGTTGTTAACCCGGGCCTCAGCCGATCCAGTATGGTTTCGCTTTGATGAACTTGCATTATAGTTTTGGCAAAAGTGTTTTATGTTGGATGCCCTTCCTGACACAACCCGGTCCCTCACCATTTACATACCCAGGCTTGGGACTGGAACAAGAGTTACAGTGGCTTGTGCTCTGATGTCTTTAAGTGCTTAATCAATTAACTTACTATGGTTTATGGTGCATCTCCCAACAGATCATTTAACATCTGCTTTACCAATTCCTTTCTTTCTATTATGCAACTTGGGTCTAAAATAACATATTTTAAGGATTTTTCCATCTTTTCCTCAAACTTTTTCAACTTGCTTCATCTCTTCACTTTAGGCCACTTCTGTTGTGTCTTGAAGACATCAAAGCCTGGATGTCTTTAAACTTCTTAAATTTCAATGAAAAGAAAACAGAAGTGATGGTGTTTGGTCCTAGTGGCTCTTGTGAACCTTGCCCTGTTGATCTGGGCCCTCTGGCACCACATGTAAAGAAAACTATTTCTAACTTGGGTTTTAAAATGGACAGTGATTTTAAATTAGAGTCCCAGATTGGAGCGGTGGTCAAGACCAGTTTTTATCACCTCAGACAGCTGGCTAAGGTAAAGACCATCCTTACAAAACAGCAGCTGGAAACAGTAATCCATGCCTTCGTCACCTCTCGGCTGGATTACTGTAATGCTCTTTACCTTGGAGTCAGCCAGTCCTCCCTCAGACGCCTCCAGTTGGTCCAGAACGCTGCTGCTCGGCTTCTAACTGGATTTCAAAAAAGGGAGCACATCACCCCCACTCTGGCTTCACTCCACTGGCTGCCTGTTCATTTTAGAGTTCATTTTAAGATTCTTTTATTTGTTTTTAAAAGTTTAAATGGTCTTGCTCCATCCTACCTCTCTGAGCTGCTTCACCCGTACTCTCCTGCTCGGTGCCTCAGATCAGCTGATCAGCTGCTCCTGGAGGTGCCGAGGTCTAAGCGGAGGCTCAGAGGGGACAGAGCTTTTTCTGTTGCTGCTCCAAGACTGTGGAACGATCTCCCTCTTCTCATCAGACGAGCTCCTTCACTGTCCAGTTTTAAAACTCTTTTAAAAACACATTTTTACTCCCTGGCTTTTAGCACACACTGAATTTGATCTGCACTGTTTTTATTACTTTTATTGATCTTAATGTTTTAACAACTGTTTTTATGTGTTTAAATGTTCTTGATTTTATATGTACAGCACTTTGTGGCAGCTGTGGTTGTTTTAAAGGGCTTTATAAATAAAGTATTATTATTATTATTATTCACTGTGTTGCCAGATATACAATAATTATTGCCTGTATACAGCAGTGTTAGGGTTGTTATGTACGCTTATAATAAATAGTTATTTAAAAAAAGAATTTAGGCTAAGATCAAGTGTAGTAGTACTAGTAGTAGATTTTTAAAAGGTCAAATAAAGTTTTTTCCATTTCCTTCTTATCTGGCAACACGCGTCTTTCCTCCCCTCCTATTTGGTCGGCCTTTTCCCACAGTGCATTGCGTTCACTCGTTGGATCATGGACCAAAGCGGTAAGCTAAAGGCTAAGTAGGGCCGCAGTTAACAAAGTTTTTTATGTCTTTTCTTTTTTACTCTGTGCCATCATGGATGTAGCAGTTGTTTAGATAAACATGGATAATTCTCTCGGAATACATTTTCGCTACGATAAGTTATAAATGCACCACTGGAGCTCGCGCGGTTTAGGCTAGCGCAGGATTAGTGCTAAACACATTTGGTGCATCAAAAGTTAACTCTGAACTAAGGTTTACATTAATTTGAGTTTGAGTCAGTGTTTGTAACACTGCTCGGAAGTTTATTCGATGACTATGCCAATCATAAGTGATTTGATATTACGTGCTAATAATAATATAATTGAGTTGAATCGTCAATGTTACGGTTATTAGCATAATGCTAATCGGGCTGTTTTAGGAAGACTTTAGACCTCTGTTTTCCCACAGCCTGTTAACTGAGGTGAATATCTACAGACCTTATAAAGTAATTTTCAGTAGTCCATCCTAATTTATTTATTTATTTTCATGTTGTTGACATTAATCACAAATGCGCAGCAGCATGTATCGGCCGCCACAGGAAAGGTAAAGGTGGACGACAGTGTTTTTGCACCCGATGTGCTTGTTTCTCTGTTAGCAAAACCTATTTATGAACCACATTCTGAATGGGCATTTACATCTCATCATTCAGAGCCAGCACACTTTAAGATAACCACCGCAGTTACCTGACTTTAAAACAACAACAACAAATTATTCAGTAAGTTTTGTGTCTATCCTGCTAAAGTGTAGTGGTAGTAACTGAGAGTCGTTCTCAACACATACTCTGAGCGTGATATCTCGTCATGTTGCATGAGATTGTCTATATTATTTTTAAGGTTTGACCAAAATGGCCACGACCTTTTAATTTCTCAGCACTGGTTTTAGTTGAACACTGCATGAAAGGTGGCGAGTGAAATGCATTCCGTCCCAAGATCGCTTGGCTTTTTAATTACTGTATTGATTTTGCTCTTCCCTTTAGTCAAGTAATGCCATAAAGTTGTTTTGCTGTTCAACAGACAATGATCTTCAAGGAAGTGATGGCTCTGGGAGTTTGGGTGGACTGGATGTTCGCAGACGAATCCCCATCAAACTCATCTCGAAGCCGCCCCTAAGGAGTAAACCCCAGCAGCGTGTTCAGAGACCCACCAGCAGGCCGTGTAAAAGTGAACCTGGAGAAGATGGTAGGCACGCTGCACAACATGCCTACTAGCATCTACTTGGAGTAGCGTCGAACACGTGACGCCACGCAGCAGGACTCTGCTGACGCTATAGAAACTGTTGTTTCTGTGAAGTGTCTCTCAAAACACAAGGTCACATTTCTCTAGGACTACTTCAAAGTTTGGAAATGAACTAGCAGCACGGTGGCTCAGTTGGTAGAGCTGCTGCTTTTCAGCAAGCAGGTTGCCTCGGTTCAAATCCCAGCCGGGGGCCTTTCTAAGTGGAGTTTGCATGTTCTCTCTGTGCATGCGAGTACTCCGGTTTCCTCCCACAGACCAAAAACCTGCATGTTAGGCTGACTGGTAACTGAATTGTCCCTAGGTGAGAGTGAATGGTTGTTTGTCTCGTTTGTCTCCATGTGTCCCTGTGATGGACTGGAGACCTGTCCAGCGTGTACCCTGCCTCTTACACATTTATAGCTAGACATGGACACCAGTGACCCCCATGACCCGAAAAGGAAGACGCGAGTAAATATAAAGGATAGTTGGATGTAAATGAACAATTTTATATTCCCAGTTATTTATTTTTCTAAATAAACTAAAGAAAACCCTAAATATAAATTATTTAGCTGCTTTTCTGTGCACCCCACAAGTATAATTTTATGCTGATTTGTGTTCGAGGCTACAAAGGACAGAAATGACGAGTATTAAATCGATATATGTAACATATTAATTAATTTAAACATAACAGTTTATGATCATTTATAGCCATTTGTTTGCCACTATATAAATCAGTTAGTTATTTTTTCATCATTTAATATCTAGCCTGCATTGCTTCTCAAAATTCACTCAACTGTTTGAAACGTGAAGTGTCTGAATTATGAGGTAGATGTGCTCCCAGTGGCATTTATGGCACTTTGCCATAATTTCTACTCTCATCAGTTCCACACCGCACCAGTTCAGGGCCTGCCCACTGCCAGTACCCACCACCACTCAGCCCAGTGTATGGGACCATCTTGTTCATGGTTCCAACAAGCAAACTGCTCCGAGGTGACGATTTTGGCGTAAGCAGCCGATGATCGGCCAGTGGAGCTACGTCACTGGATGACCCACCCAACAAAACTACAAACTACGTCTGAACCTCTACTTCCTCTCTGATTGTGTTGAGTGCACGTGTTTGCTAGTTTCTGGTATAGAAGCTCCAAAAATGGTGCCGTGTACCAATGATGAGGTGCAGACCTTCCTAACTTTATTGGCGCCACAAGAAATGAGCGCATTTATCGAGCTACGTTAGAGATGATGGCGCAGCGTGGCTACACCCAGACTTATGAGCAGTGCCGGGATAAGCAAAAAAGTGAAGTCCGGTTACAGGGCGATGATGGACCACAGTGGGTGGAGTGGCCCTAACACAATGTTGCGATCCTGCTCACAGAGCGGGGAAACGGGTCACTGTGGCAAATCATCGCCACTTGAGGAGAACCGATGAGACGAGAGCCAAGTGGAGTCGCACTTATCAGTGGCAAAGTGGCTTTATGTTCAACAGCTTTCTCTGCATTCATTAGTGGAAAATCTGTCAAACAATGTCAAATTTATTTTTTATGTAAAATTGTTTGGTCATTTTATATTTTAGTCGGGTTAGAATGAATTTGGAGTGTTTTATAATTCACACTTTGAATTTGGATGCCTTTACATGTTTTGCATTAACCTATATTGTTAGATTATTATTATATTATTATTGGTGCAGCTGCGGCTGAGTGGTTACAGCAGTCGTCCTCCAATGGTCAAGTTGGGGGTTTGATTCCACCAGCAATCACATGCTGAAGTGTCCCTGAGCAAGACACTGAACCCCTCATCGTCTCTGATGTGTGTCCTATAGGTGTATGAACGTGATCTAAAGCTCTGATTAGTCTCTACTGATTCAGATTATCTTTGTACAGATATAGTCTAGTAGAATGGTTAAAATGAGGACTCACATGTTGTAAAGCACTTTGAGTATCTTTAACATAGAAGGGTGCTATATAAGTACAGTCCATTTATTATTGTCAGATGTTAAAAATGTTTTCTGTACGTAGTCTGATTATTTTTTTACTTTTATTTGACACAAAACAAAACGGTATCAATTAGATATTTTTTCTTCAGTTTTCAGCCCTGTATCAGTAATCCTCTTTTCTCTTGTATGTTACAGATAAATTTAATTTCAAGCAAGAGGACAGGTTTGATTGTGGCACAAAAGCTGGAGATGTATTTGCAGCTCAGAGGAGGTTTCCCCAGCCACTGTTTTGGGACTATAAGGTAAGACTTGTGGAGCTCGGCAGCTTTGCAAACAATATTCATTAGAACTGCAGCTATAATTTAGTCAAGTATTCTATTGACAAGTTCATCAACTAAGTAACAAATGATTGGACGCACATGTGCTACATCACTGGTTCTTGACCTCTTATTGTTTTGTTTGTTTGGACCCCCTGGCTTGTACCTACAATAAAAGCTGTTTCTCGCGTCTTCATTGTTAGAAAGGGAAGGCCCCATGTGTGTGTTGAAGCTGTCAGCAGGCCTGGAAATTAAATTCAACCAAGCTCCAATTGTAGCTTAATCTGCCGTCAGGTGGTAAAATAATTTGCTAACCTGCAGCCTGGCTGGCACTTAAACAAATGCAACAAATAAAGTTAAACTATACTGCTTCACTAGTCCGGCCCAATAATAGTAGATAATTTAGTCATGCAACTTTATCACTTCTCACATTTCCTTTTTCCCATATTACCTCGCTGCTGTCAGCGACTTGACTTGCACTAGCATGAATTACAAACACCGATGTGTTGAGCTGCATCTTGGGTCCCGTCTGGTGTGGTGGACCCCCACCTCTGTGGTGTGGTGGACCCCCCACCTCTGTGGTGTGGTGGACCCCCCACCTCTGTTGCACTTGTCCATCCAGGGTTTTAAACATGCGATCAGCTAATTCACATCAGAAAACAAAAATCTGTTATTTGATTTGTCGTTAATATTTTTCAGATTGCTGATAAAACGCGTCGCGTTGCTCTTTCCTATGTAAAACTTGTTTAAAGTCCAAAGTACCGGATCAGCGCCACGTTGCAACACTTGAGTTGTTCTGTATTTATTTGATGGATTGATGCTGAACTGTGAAAAACTGCTCACCACTCGTGATGACGGCTTGCTGTTCTTGATTAAAACAGTTCTGGGAGAAAAAAAACACATGTTTTTTTAATAGTTAATATTTTTATACAATAACTTTAAGTAATAAAATTTAAATTAGTGTTTTTGTGAAAACTTTTGTCTTTAGATGTTTTTAACTCAGTCTAAAAATTAGTTTTTGTCACTTAAGTGCTATTGCATCCGAGAGCGATTATTTATTCATTCATTTGTCTTTAAGGAAGAAAATGCTTAGAGGACAACAATTGTGAAGTATTTTGTATTCGTATAGAAGTATGTATTTAAATAGGATTTTTGTGTAGTACGGTACATACATAATGAATGAAAGTTATATTTGTCTTCTTTATTTATTTTACTTCTGAAATGAAAAACTTGTCTGAAGGCTGCTTTGGTGAAATCAGGTCAACCAGCCTGGTAACTAAAACTAAAAGTTATGAAAAGTTCTCAAACATTCTGTCATTATTTGTCAAATTAAGCAAAACTAAATAATTTATAGAATCCCAACAGGTAAAAAACAGGAAAGGTTTAGTCTGGTTTAGTGTTGGGGGGTGTTCTGTGTCTGTTTTTATACTTTGTATGTAAACATCTGTTTGTAAGTGCATGTGTGATTTTAACGTTGTTACTTTTCTTGTAGTTAAATTTAGTTGGTGAAAGAGATGAGGTACCAGTTCACTTCTGTGATAAATGTGGCCTCCCTATCCAGCTGTACGGACGGATGGTACGTACTTGGCCGTCTTTTCTCAGTGTACGTCTAAGACTGTGTTCCAGTCTAACTCTTGCACCCATACCTCTTTAGATTCCTTGCAAACATGTTTTTTGCTACGACTGCGCTCTGCTGCATGAGAAAAAAGGAGAGAAGATGTGCCCTGGGTAAGAGATTCTACTATTTCTGTATATAATAGTTTGTTTGTTATGATTCTTATTTTTGTGGCAGGACTCCAAACTTCTCAAATCATTTAGACGTGTCAGAAGACCCACTCTCAGTAGAACTGTTTTATAGAAATTTAAGTACTGCAGTAAATATTCTGGGGAACATGGAATTGCTACTTTTGCAGACATGGTTTTACAGTGTGGAAGTATTCTGTGTATGAATACTCAAAAAAAGAAAACATAACTACAGTGATTGGCAGTCTATAGAGCGCACCTGAATATAAGCCGTGCACACTAAATTTAGAAAAATCAACAGTTTTGTACATGTATAAGCTGCAGGTGTGCACGTTATGAGTGGCAGCTCACAGCTACTGACATGTGCAGCTCTTGTAGATCAAGAATCAACCACCAGATGGTGTTTAATAGACTTTAACTTCCTGTTCAACACAGAGTGAACCTCGCAGGTCTTCATGACTCCTCACTCATGGTTTTTCATTCATCCTTTATTTAGACAGGTTAATCCCATTAAGCCTCAAAGACTCATTTACAAGAGAGACCTGATTTTAACAAACAATGATGACAACAGTAGACAATCATAAAAGAAAGCATACAAATTGAGAAGAATAAACGAAAGAAAATGGTGTTTAAAAAAAAAAAAAAACTACATTGTAAAGCGGTGTAGAAAACTAAAAACAGGAGCATGTCTGCATTCGTTCTTGACATGAACGTAGCAGATTCTTAAAGCCACTTGGAGAGGTCAAGGTCGAGAGCTTCAGGTCTTTTTGTAAGATATTCCAGGAAACAGGAGCGGAGTAGGAGAAGGCTCTTTGCCCAAGTTCAGTTCTCACTGAGGGAACACTGCGGGCAATAATGTCCTGAGAGCGCACGCTGTAGCTGCACTCACACAGAGACATGTAGGAGGAGATGTATGAAGGCAGCAGACCAAGAAGTGATTTAAAGATGAAAATGTACCAGTGAGAGAGTCTGCGTGAAGTTAATGATGTCCAGTTAACCAGTGAATACTGGGTGCAGTGGTGGGTACGATAATCACAGCCAGTTATGAATCTTAGTGCACCATGATAGACAGCATCCAACATCTGCAGGGTTCTTGTAGGAACGTTCATGTAAATAATGTCACTAATCAATGGAGGGAAGGAAAGTCACAGATACAAGATGTTTCCTTAACTGAAAACTGTTTCTGTTTACTGAATGACCTAACACAAACTAACATAAACTAGGCTAACAGGAACAGACTAACCACTAAAAGAACAATGATCAACAGCTAACTGAAACGATTAACAATGAACATAAATTTTACCCATAATCCCTCCCTGAGGCCATGTGACCGGCAGTCAACCACAGCAGAATGCTACAATACATATCAGTAATGTACACAAATACTACAGTAAATGTTTTTTTCTGAAGAGTGCCAGAAACGCATCTGGTTAAAAATAATACAGTAGGCTACCAGGAAGTGATTGATCACTATCTTCATTAAGCTGACCTCCTGCTCCACAGAGGTCATATGACTCACGGGGAGTGGGGGGGGGGGGTCCTCCCCTCCCCATTTCACTGGGTTGACTGTGACCTGTTCATTAATTTCATTGCTCTGATTTTTTATTTTTTTTAACCTTTTATTTATACAAGTAGTCTCATCAATACACATCTCTCTTGGGGAGGTGAGTCCTCGTGACTCAATGACATTACCTCACTGGTTCATTGTGGTTGACTGTCGGTCACATGGCCTCAGAGAGGGATCATGGGTAAAATTAATGTTCATTGTTAATCGTTTCTGTTAGCTGTTTAACATTGTTCTTTTAGTGATTAGTCTGTTCTTGTTAGTTTATGTGTTCATTATGTGTTGGGTCATTCAGCAGAGTACCATGAGTGAGGAGGTTGTTGTCATGACGACCTGTGGGGTTCACTCTGTCTGTGTGGCACGAGGACCCACCCCCCAAGAGAGACGTGTATTGGGCAGCTATGTGAGCACTCGGGTGTGACGAAGCTAAATGTTTTTGGTGACAGGAAGCTCGTTAGCCTGTCAAAAAAAAATAATAATTAACTGCAGAATTGTATAAGCCAGTGACAAAAGTAGCGGCTTATAGACCGGAAAGTACGGTAATGGCAAAAAAGATTTACATGATAGGATGATGAAAATTTTAAAATTCTGTTCAAAAAGTACTTTGCCTATGCAAAAAAATATATTTTTACATGTTACATTTTCTTAAACTTTAAAAAACAAAGCAGTAGGCTGTGTCTGTTGCAGTTTTGTAGTTGTTTATTCTCAAAAGATGCATTAAAAAAAACAAACAAATGCATTTTCATTTTTTTAAGCTAAATGTTCTGAAAAAAGTCCAGACTTTGGCCAGATGTACTGAAATGTGAAGGTTCAAGAATGAGTGTTATTTTGTGTGTAATTCATGTCATATTATCCAAAGTTTTTAAAACAGTCAATCAAGCTTTATTAAAGGAAAGAATGTTTTAAAGCTTAAATGATCTGGCAACATTTGCTACATGACTGCGGTAGTTTTGTGTTTTGGGAGGAAGTTGTTGGTCACTGAGCTTCTGTGTCCGTGTTCAGTCTCTCTCTGTACAGCTGCACAGACCCCGTTCAGCGCATTGAGCAGTGCCAGCGAGGTTCCCTCTACATGTGCAGCGTCGTGTCGGGATGCAAGCGCACCTACCTGTCCCAGCGGGACCTCCAGGCCCACGTGAACCACCGCCACATGAGGGCGTCCAAGTCCTCAATGGGCCGCCAGGATCCTGTGCACATGCCGCCCGTGCCCGAAGTCTCGGAGCGGTTCCGCGTGCCTCCGCCTCACATACCCAAAAATCATGTCCACCTCCCCAACCCGCTCCAGCACGGCAGTCACGACCCATACGGTCAGCCGCCCCCGCCAAGCCCTCACGAAGGCCCACCACCGCCTTCTGCTCTAGGGCCCGAGACTTTCCGTATCTCCACGGTAACGACTCGCAAACACAGCAATCTCATCACCGTACCCATCCAGGATGACTCCTCCACACGGGACCCCCTCTCTGGGGGTCCCAGTCAGCCCCCCCACCACCACCCTGGAGACTATCCTGGCCAGCCTCCTGTAGTGTCACATTCTCACCACATGATGGGGCCACCGCAGCATAACTTTGGGCCCCCTCCTCCCCCTCCCCCTCCTATCAGTCACCCAATGCAGCATCTTGCTCAGGCCTCCAGGACGCCACACTTGGTGTACAACCAGGCCCCTCCACCCCCGATGTCCACAGCTCCCCCACCTATCACTCCCCCACCAGGGCACATCATAGGTCAGATGCCCCCTTATATTAACCACCCACCCCCAGGACCTCCACCACAGCATAGTGGACCCCCTGTTAACGCCCCGCCACCACATCACTATAACCCCGCCTCCATGCAGCAGTTCCCCGAGGACCAGGGCACTCTTAGCCCCCCATTTAGCCAACCAGGAGGGCTTAGTCCCGGTATGTGGCCTGCTCCAAGAGGGCCACCACCTCCACGGATGCAGGGTCCCCCTCCTCAGGGCCAGATGCCTGGTCCACATCATCCAGATCAGGGTCATTATCGACCTTACTATCAGTAAACTGCTAACTCGATAAACATTAAGTGTCATTTCATTTTCATCAAACTTATTGAATAATGTGATAGAGCCTCAGGGTTTCAGGATGTAGGACTTTGATTTTTATAATAAAACGGCCCTGAATAAATTGTATGTGGTGCACATTTTAGTTAGCTGTCCTCAGTGACTCTGAACATGTTACTGAGTCTGATGAGCATTTGATGAGTGTGTGTGTATGTTGATGATGCTGATGTTTCACACACACACGCCATTAAATGATGTTACCAGTTCTTTATGGTTTTTATTGCCATATTTCTCTTGTTTTTCATGATATGGTTGTCGATTCAAGATCATACCAGCTAATAAACACTTAATGGGTTTTGTGTTTATTTATGACTTCACTTTTTTAGGGACTCAATTAGTTTGTAATACGTAAAGTATATGAAAAAAGGGTTTTGTTGTATTGAAAGTATTGATGCCTGTTGAGCTTTTCCACTGATTTTATTTTCATTTTGTGGGATAGATGGTAATGTGGAAGAAAAGTGATGCATGCAGCTTTTTCAGTTTTACAGACGCTGTAAACGTGAAAACTGACCGTCTCGTTTAGGCAACACAATCAAACGGTTTAATCTAATAGACATTTTGTTACTTTGTGAAACTTGATTTTTCCCCCCGTAAATGTTAAGAGAAATCAAAACTACTGCAAGGTGGAACGGTCTGTAACGACACTTTAATAAAAACCCTGAAAGTTTCAACAAACAGGCAGAATATTACACAGTAAGCAGTTTGAACAGAAGATTAAAACTGGACACTTTGCTGTTATTCCAGAAAAGTTGTTGGTGAACTGATCCTCCCAGAGGCAGTCGTTCTACAGTTTGGTGTATTTTAACTGTAAAAAGAAACAAAAATATTGTAAAACATCAATGTTAATTTACAGTATTCAAAAAATGTGTTGCACGAGGATTGTGTTAAATTTATGATAAGTCACATGACGTTTTACTTGTAATTAATATCTGTGGAACTTGTAATACTTTCAATATTGCCCACCGCCAAAATGTGACATAGCGCATGTCATTAATCAAAATATCTCATGAATCGCTGAACAGATGAAACTTGCTTAAAGTAATTACAGGATGTGCATCTACAACTGATAAACCGTTAGTCAACCCATTCAAGACGGCTACCACAGAAAATCAGCTTTAGCAAATGCAAATGGCGAAAACAGTCAATTTTACAGATGCTGAATAGAGAACGCTGCGACAGTTTAGTGAATTAGTAGCTGAAATTTCCCCCAGCGTACTTTATGCCAACTTTGTTGGAGAATTTTGGTGTGAATACTTTTATTATATCATGGCTGAGAACATGTTTCTGTAAGACGTGCACAAAACATTTCGTCTCGGCCTGAAGGCCAGCTCACTGACTCGGTGCCTCACTGGTGTTGACGCCATGAGAACATGCCCAAAACATTTTCTTTTCTCCACCTGGAGGCCGACTTGCAGACAGCCATGGATCAGGTCTGTGCGTCTTATGAGGGAACACGTGCTGGACTCTGCGGCTGTATAAAAGTCTGCAGCAAACTATTCTACACTCATTCTGTGACATGTCCCATGCATATGTATTTATGTAATCTGTCTTGAATGAGGCCTTGCAAGTAAAAGGGTTGGATATACAGGTCCTTCTCAAAACAATTAGCATATTGTGATAAAGGTCATTATTTTCCATAATGTAATGATAAAAATGAAACTTTCATATATTTCAGATTCATTGCACACCAACTGAAATATTTCAGGTCTTTAATTGTTTTAATACTGATGATTATGGCATACAGCTCATGAAAACCCAAAATGCCTGTCCCAAAAAATTAGCATATCATGAAAAGTTTCTCTAAACAATCTATTAACCTAACCATCTGAATCAACGACGTAACTCTAAACACCTGCAAAAGATTCCTGAGGCTTTTAAAAACTCCCAGCCTTGTTCATTACTCAAAACCGCAATCATGGGTAAGACTGCCGACCTGACTGCTGTCCAGAAGGCCATCATTGACACCCTCAAGCAAGAGGGTAAGACACAGAAAGAAATTGCTGAACGAATAGGCTGTTCCCAGAGTGCTGTATCAAGGCACCTCAGTGGGAAGTCTGTGGGAAGGGAAAAGTGTGGCAGAAAACGCTGCACAACGAGAAGAGGTGACCGGACCCTGAGGAGGATTGTGGAGAAGGGCCGATTCCAGACCTTGGGGGACCTGCGGAAGCAGTGGACTGAGTCTGGAGTAGAAACATCCAGAGCCACCGTGCACAGGCGTGTGCAGGAAATGGGCTACAGGTGCCACATTCCCCAGGTCAAGTCACTTTTGAACCAGAAACAGCGGCAGAAGCGCCTGACCTGGGCTACAGAGAAGCAGCACTGGACTGTTGCTCAGTGGTCCAAAGTACTTTTTTCGGATGAAAGCAAATTTTGCATGTCATTCGGAAATCAAGGTGCCAGAGTCTGGAGGAAGACTGGGGAGAAGGAAATGCCAAAATGCCAGAAGTCCAGTGTGAAGCACCCACAGTCAGTGATGGTCTGGGGTGCCATGTCAGCTGCTGGTGTTGGTCCACTGTGTTTTATCAAGGGCAGGGTCAATGCAGCTAGCTATCAGGAGATTTTGGAGCACTTCATGCTTCCATCTGCTGAAAAGCTTTATGGAGATGAAGATTTCATTTTTCAGCACGACCTGGCACCTGCTCACAGTGCCAAAACCACTGGTAAATGGTTTACTGACCATGGTATTACTGTGCTCAATTGGCCTGCCAACTCTCCTGACCTGAACCCCATAGAGAACCTGTGGGATATTGTGAAGAGAAAGTTGAGAGACGCAAGACCCAACACTCTGGATGAGCTTAAGGCTGCTATCGAAGCATCCTGGGCATCCATAACACCTCAGCAGTGCCACAGGCTGATTGCCTCCATGCCACGCTGCATTGAAGCAGTCATTCATGCAAAAGGATTCCCGACCAAGTATTGAGTGCATAACTGAACATGAATATTTGAAGGTTGGCGTTTTTTGTATTAAAAACACTTGTCTTTCATTGGTGGGATGAAATATGCTAATTTTTTGGGACAGGCATTTTGGGTTTTCATGAGCTGTATGCCATAATCATCAGTATTAAAACAATTAAAGACCTGAAATATTTCAGTTGGTGTGCAATGAATCTGAAATATATGAAAGTTTCATTTTTATCATTACATTATGGAAAATAATGACCTTTATCACAATATGCTATTTTTTTTAGAAGGACCTGTACAGTAAATAGTCACCTGCCGTGTGTGTGTGCGCTTCTTTTGAGTGAACAGTATAAGAGAAAATTTCTCCAACATTTTGGTCCTTCGAGTGCCGGCCCCAACACGTAACCTCAAACCGCCAGGCTTGGATCTGAAACCGTGCACGGAGAAGAATTAATGTCCTCTGGCTGAATTGCCGAATTTAAAGAGACCAGGTCTGCTGGTGGGTCGAGGGAGGTGATGGACGTCCAGAAACAAGCCACATGCACTGAGGGTAAGGAGCTGAACTTATTCAACATGTTCTGAAGTCACAAAGGGACTTTCAGTAGATAGTCGGGGACTATCAAAATAAAAGGAAGTTCGAGGAACTTCATTCTTGTCCGGAAGTAAAAAGGTTGGATGTAAATCTATCTTCACCTGCCGTGTGTGTCCGTGGTTCTTTTCAGTGAACAGTCGTGAGTGAAAATTTCTCCAACATGGTCAGCTCTGTTAGCAAAGTATCTCATGAACCACCTGACAGATTATAATGAAAATAAAGTGCCTGTGTCATCAAATTTTCATAATAAATAACGTCTTATTGGAAAGATATCATATTACAGAGTTAAAAAAAAGTCAGATTTCAGTTGGTTCAATAAACGAAGGACAACCAGGGAGTTGTATTTTCAAAGGGCTCCCCTTTGATGTCACTTCCTGCTTTACTTTGGCTGAGCTAAATAAAAACGACAAGCTAATGTGACGACACCCATCTGCTCACTACAGACTCATGTTCGGGCTGCTGTTTAATATACCATATTATTTTACATTATTAGTGTTTAGCGTATATCTTAGATCCTTGTATACCGTTTCTTTTTTATGCTTTATATTTTTGCTATTTTTGGATGTAACTGGGACCTCGAGTACACAATTTCATTGCACCTCATGTACCACATGTGATGCGAATGACAATAAAGAACCTTGAACGGGGTAAAATCATATGTCAGATTTCTTAAATATTGTGTTGTTGAACTTTTTGTAATTGTAGGATATGTCACAGGTACTTTTTTTATCACTGGCTCTCTAATGAGGCGCATGCATTTCTCCCCGCTCCCTGTTCTCCTCCTGCTTCTTTTGCTCTCAGTCTGTGTATCGGAGCAGCTTCTTTTTTTACGCATCTTCCAAAATGAAAACTACTGTTTTGGATCTGACCAACTGGACTTTCAACGTAAATGACTAAATCTTTTCAACAAAGCGACAGGGTCCTGGAGAACCCTCATCTGCATGTGATCTAAAGCTCTGATTAGTTTCTGCAGATTCAGATGACCTTTGTGTCTAGTAGAGTGCTGTATGAATGAGTGTGTTGGAGGTAAATGAGGCACAGATTGTGTTGTAAAGAGCTTTGAGTATCTTGATTAGATATTAGTACAGTCCATTTACCATTTATATTTATCTAGAAACCATAGTGCAACTGAAACTTTGCTAGATTTTTCTATGTTCACCAACATGTTTAACAAACAGACCTTCCCAAGGACCGGCAGCCATTTTAAACAACTGCCTTGCTTTTTTTCACGTCACAATGGCTGCTGTGAAAAACTCTATTATATATAGCCAGCAAGTTCTTTACCTCCCAGCTTCTGCCTCCGTCTTTGTCTTTCTCAAGTGCTTGCAGCATGGCATCATGTAGGGTTGGGAAGAACATGGAGGTCACGATCTGATCATCGAAGAACATACAATCGTGCAGTTTCTCCAGTATTAAGGCTGGAACAACAACTCTATGGTTTACATCCATATTTCAGCAACACTCACATTTACTGGGGTTGTGCTTTCTACAGAGAAAAACAGTGTTCATATAAAAAAAGGTTAACTTACCATCACATGAAACGATGTAAACATCCACTTCAATTTGGATGAACTCTTTGAGTGCCTGTGGAGAATAGAATGTTAGCTCAACATTTGCTTTATTGATAATGTCTAAAAATGTGGTAAATTTAAATCAGCAGAGCTTGCATGCTTTAATGTCTTAAATAAATTGTCGTGGAGAGCTTTTGAAGACTAAGAAGAGATTCCTAAAAATATTTCTATACATCTGATCTCTTCTCCCATCTCGTCTGGTCTGGTTTAGTATCTTCCAACCACAAGCCTTAATGGGTGCCCGCTAAACATGTCCAGTCATAATCAGAATTAAAATCCTAGCATTAGAAATGGATTTGTTGTAGCCCGCTACTGCGCATGTCAGACTTTTAAACCAAGATCTTTTTATGAGAAGGGAAAGTTTTTTTCAGACCTTTAAATAACATTATGTGTGATTTTGTGCAATCCTGAGAGACGAGTTAGCGCTTGAAGTACCGGTATATGTTCAGGAACACTCTCAGCTATTCCGGCATCAAACTAGCACAGAATCTACAAATATTATTGTTGTTATTGGGGCCAAGATGGTGTAGGGGAAGGGGGGAAGGGAAGTCTGAGATTGTCATCATTGTATGTTCCCATACAATGGCAAAATTAGTTCTCTGCATTTAACCCATCACACCTGAGATACACTAAAGTGGAACAGTGGGTAGCTATGTAAGCGCCCGGGTAGCAACTGGGGATTAGGTCTCTTGCTGAGAGACACAACGACATGTGGGAATGGCTGGGAGTTGAACTGAGACTTTCTGGTCCCCAATCAGCTGCTCTACCCAGCACCCCTTCTTGGCTCAAAGGTAGAGGCAGCTGACCTGGGACCAGAAAGTTGCAGTTTGACTCCCTGCTATGCCCACATCATGGTGTCCCTGAGCAAGAAACCTAATCCCTAATTGCTCCTTGGGCGCTTACATAGTTGCCCACTGCTCCACTTGGGTGTATCTCATGTGTGATGGGTTAAATGCAGAGAGCCAGTTTCGTCTTTGTAAGGGAACATACAATGATGACAACACATAGCACCTGTCCTTACTTACTTGTTGACATTTCTTTGTTGACTATGGTAGATGGAAACATAGTAGTGGTAACACACACAGAGAGACATATACAAGAAGGTTATTGTCTTTTACACCTAAAGTGGCATGCAGTAATCCAGTTGTACAATGTAAGTTTTGGTTAAATTGATCTCAAAACGGTCCAATCTAGGCACCATCTGAGAAGGTCCTAAACCATACCATACCATTTTATTTATAGAGCACTTAAAACAGCGACAAGGCCAACCAAAGTGCTGTACAGACAGAACAACAGGTAACACACAAAGCAAAATACAAAATTAAGTAAATCAGAAATATAGACATAAAAACGATGCAGATAATGACGACAAACCAGTGTGGAGCATACAGGTTCAAAACACAGATCATCTTGTGTTGAAAGCTACTGAATAGTAGTGAGTTTTTAAACGGGACTTGAAAACCGAGAGGGAGGGGCCAGTCTGACAAGCAGAGGTAACTCGTTCCAGAGTCTTGGTCCTGCTACAGAGAAGGCCCTGTCACCTCTGCGCTTAAGACGAGATCCTGGAACTGTGAGGAGCAACTGGTCCGCTGACCTCAGGGAACATGGTGGGACATACGGTTGTAGCAGATCAGAGAGATAAGGGGGGGCGAAACTTTTCAGTGATTTGTAGACATACATGAGTATTTTGAACTGGATTCGAAAGTGAACCGGTAACCAGTGCAGGGAGGCCAAAACTGGTGTAATGTGCTCTCTTTTGCCTGTACTGGTTAAAAATCGGGCTGCTGCATTCTGGATCAGTAAATTGGCTGGGGTTTTTCTTCTGAGATGGAACCCACACCCAGACTCTTCGTTCTAGTAATTTTTGAGACTACCCAGATGAGGCACAACTTTTAGATATATTCACACTTTTGCATTTTTTCCCCAAAAGTTGTATTAGCTGTTGAAATATGCAATATTTTTTAATGTTTTTTGATTAAAATTTTTGGTATATGCGTATTACCTACAATAAAACTTACTAAATATGCATTAGAAGTCTGCTGCATAATTTGAAATAAATGAATGAAATCAGCAGTCATGTTACGGTACCAACCATTACGAGTCATTGTTTATATTTGAACAATGACAAGTATACTTCAGACAGTCTTGGCATTGAATGAATATTGAGTCAGTAATGCCGTCCCCGGATGTAAACAAAGCAGAGGAAGAACGGTGGATATATTAAACAGTCTGGTACTTACCAGATACGTACAACGTGTTTACAGGGTACATACCAGGAAGTACAAACCTGTCATGGACTAGGTACGTATCGTAAGTACAGGGCAACAAAACATTCATATACAGATACCACGTATGTACTAGGTACTTATCACATATATATCAGGTATATACCCACTAAATGTAGGATTTCCAGTTTTTCTCCTGCAGCTTTTCTACACCAGATGACATCAACAAGCACACACCTGTGGACCATTCCAATAATGAGCTTCAGAAGTGTAAATGGCAGTAGATGACATCTATCCGACGCTGGTGCATTATCTACCTACTGGTAGCTTGTGTTCCTGGCCTTATATATGTCCTTGTGATATGGGAAAACTAACCTCTATCTCCTGCATGTTAAAGCACTGATTCCTGTGTGGCTCCTGTGCCTTGGACCTCAATGGTTTCTTCTAAGCCTCCTCGTGATCGCTACAGCCATCCCTTGCTTCCACTACTTGCCCACATATGTATGAACCTCTCTGGGACTTCCTTGTTCCTTGCTACTGGAAACATTTGGACCTTTGTCTCTGTGATAACCTTGGACTCCAACAGTAAGACACTAACTGGACATCAAATTATCCCCAAGGATCTAAAGCCTCCTACTAACTTTGTTCCTTGTCTCCAGGGTTCCAGTCCCTCCCTGATGATTGACATCATACTGTTTATTAATTCACTTATTGTAAATAAACAGTTAAACTTCCTCTGGTCTTGGAGTTGCAGTTTATGGTCACTATCTGGGTATAGAGCTAAACATTACGCTAAGTATCAGGTATGTACTACGCATGTTGTTCTTTTTTTTCAGCTGCTCCTTTCTACAGGGGTTGCCACAGCAAGCATGAAATATATGGCAATTATTTTACACTGGATGCCATTCCTGGCACAACCTGGGCTCCAACTCACAGCCTCAGGGTTACAAGACCACAGTACAGATAGATAGAGCTTATGTACTACACCTGTGCTGGGCTGTATTACGTGTTGCTACCTAGAAAACAGTTTGTTGTGTTGCGGTTCCTTTTAGTGAATTTATGGCATTTGACTTTTTGAAGGGGTCCTATTTTGAAAGATTTTTAAACACTATCCTGCATGACAAATATTGAAGATTGTTTTTACCATTTTGAGTCCCTTCATGCCGGAAATGTCCAGGAAGGAGACAGCAGAGAAATCCAGGATCATACTGTGGAGATCCACTTTGGGAACATTGATCTCAGAAGGAAGGTCAGCATTCCAATTTATGTGGAATGGAAGGTCCTTGAGATCTGTTGGCAGATCCACCTCGTCCAGGTTCACTTTAGAGTTATCGGTTGTTTGGCAGAACAAATCCCTTATTCCTTTCTGTTTGGCAAATGTAATGAAGATTAGGAGAAAGAGTTTCATGAAACAGTGTTTGAAATAATAACTTTATAATGAAAGTGCTCAAGATGTTTAGAAGAACAAAAATTTAAAGTAATCTATATAAGGACGGACAGACAAAAAGGCAACTAGTCTAGTATTTTACATTTGCTTGACGCTATAGTTTTTGTAAAAGTCCCACCTCTTTAATATCCTGATCTTTTTCCTGCAACATTTTTTTGATTTTTTTGATGGCCTTGTTCCTCTTCTGCAAAACCCTCAGGGGGTTAAACCCAACCTGGAACACAGTTTTAGCATCATCATTGATTTATTTCAAGACAAATAAAACTGCCACTGTATATGCATGTATATGGAGTGTCATACATACAGCTTCTATCATCTTCTTCCTGAAGAAATCAACATTGGCAAAGAAGATAGGTGAAGGTACCCGGAAGATTTTTATCCCTTTTGGTTCAAACATCTGAGAAGGAATGCATGGTGGCGTGAAACCATTCAGCTTTTATTGTAATCAAATGTTTAGTTTCATTTAACATACTTACGTGCAGGTAATCTTTGCGATTTCTGTAGAAGTCAGTCCCAGGGATGTTAGCTAAGATGGAACAGTGGGGGCTAAAGAGAGACAGGAAGTGTGAACAAATAAAAGCTTAACCTTCAGGAAAAGTACAGATAATGATGGCAAACAATGAAATTTGTGACCTCATTCATTTTAAGTTCAGCACTCATTTTCACAAAATACTATTAACGGGATAGACAACAGCATCTTAAAGGTCTGTTGGGGGTGCCGATCAATTCCTAGTTTTGTAACCATGTCACAATGATGTACTCCCCCTAAAGGTCGTAGTCCTACTCTTACTTTTCAAGGTGTGTGTGTGTGTGTGGGGGGGGGGGGGAATGATGTTTCATTTCTATTTTGTGAGGTAAGGGGGTAATGAAAGAGTTGAGCTAGCTCACTCTTTGACATGGACTTTGACAAAAAGTTGTGTAAGTATGTGTTTGAACTCGGCACTTGTAAATTGCAGATCAAATTTCTCATTGAGAGTCATCCCCAACAAATATTCAAAATGTCAACATTTTGATCAAACCTTTAAAAATATTGTGTGCAATTTCAAGCTCAGAGAATGTGTTGTAAATGTCTCTCAGCTACTATCACATTCATTTATTTCATCCATCCATCCATCCATCATCTTTACCCGCTTCTTCCTTTTTGGGTTGTGGGGTCTCTGGTGTCTCCAGTCCATCACAGGGCTTAATTTATTTCAGTCTATAAAATTTATTGAGTTAGAGCTAATTTTGATTTTGTTAGAATAAAACTGATATGCTGTGGCAACCATCTTCAATTGAATTCGTCCAGAAGGTGATCATTGTTAAATGTACACCCAGTGATTACATTCTGCATAAGTAATTAAAATAATCATTATAGTGTATGAGATATTTTGCTAACAGACAGACAGTTTTTTTTTTACACACATGGAAAAGCCTCGGAACCGTGCTGAGTCGAGTAGAGCCGTGCTGTACCGTCACTAATGGAAAAGGGGTAATAGTATGCAGGCAAAAACATTCTTGTCTGCCTTTGCCTTTTGGCAGTGGGTGATAATTAGCAGAGTTTTGAAGACTGAATATAGCATGCCTTCTATTAACTGTAGAGTGGTGTACAAAAGCTGTCACAGGGCTGACTTGATTTTAAATTTATAGACTCAAGAAAGTATTCACCTGATAACTTTGTCCTCCAAGAAATTATGACAACTATCAAGTTTCTGTGGACCGCCCTCTCTGGGTTAAGAATGAGGCGCTGCTTCAAGTGGAGGAGTTTACGTTTTGAGGATTTGTTCACTTGTGACAGAAGATTGGGCCATGGGATCAACAGACTGATCATTGTAGCTTCTTAAATATTGCGTACTCTTTATTGGTCTGTTGTGGTAAAAAGGGAACTGAGCTGCAAGACAAAGTTCTCTACCGGCTGGTTTACGTTCCTATCCTCAGCTATGGTCAAAAACTGGGTAAAGACCGAAAGAAGGAGATTGCAGATACAGGTGATTGAAATGAGTTTTCCTTGTAGGGTAACTGGGCTTTCCTTTAGAGATAGTGTAAGAAGTTCAGTTATCTGGGTGAGACTCAGTGTAGTCTCTGCTCCTCCACATCGAAAGGAGCTGATTGAGGTAGTTTGTTCATCTGGTGAGAATGCCCCCTTGACATGTCTGTCACGACTTATGTCCTGAAGACCTCCTTAGGTCTAGCTAATGATGGTGCATGGATGGATCAAGTTTCTGAAATATGTACGGTATATCAAGAGTGCCTCTGAATAAAATTAAACATCTTAAACATTCCTGATATTTTCATTAGACTTTCAAAATGTTGTTAGCGTGAACTACAAAAATTTTATGAGCATTTTTGTATGCTCAAACCGTCTTCTGTGTAGAATGATGCGACTGTTTTATTGTTGTCCTGTATTTTTATATATATAGCCACAAATTAGCTTTATTTTTAATTTAGCCTTTTTTTTACAGTAAATGTCATGAATTTTACATTACAATTGAACCCTGAAGATGACACTGAGCAGCTCTACGCCCAATCCCAAGGCCAGACCAAGATCCAGTCCCAACAAAGTGGCACCCAGGCACGTTCCCACCCACACCACCTGCAAACATCCAGTCAAACAGTAAGAATGAGACATCACGAAACACATCACAAAGTGACGGGTTCAAATGTTGTTGCTCATGAAATGGTTCCTGAACACCTACACACTCTGGCTTGTCTCTCCTCCAGAGGTACAGTATTTCTCTGAACTGCATCAGCATCCCCTTCAGGTTGACAATCACCAAGGCCCCCAGAACAGACTGCAGACAAGTCAAATATTATCTTAGTGTCATTAAAACATCTTAATTACAATTCCTACATTGAGATCCATCCATCCATCCATTATCTTTACCCGTTTATTCCATTTTTGGGTCACGGGGGGTCGCCGGTGCCCATGTCCAGCAATCACTGTGCGAGGGGCAGGGTACACCCTGGACGGGTCGCAAGTCCATCACATGGCCACACAGAGACAAACGAGACAAACAACCATTCACACTCTCTCTCTCACACCTAGGGACAATTTAGAGTTACCAATCAGCCTAACATGCATG